GAACCGAGTCCATCCATGGAGAGCTCTCATAGAGTACAGCCCTATACTTCTGCGCTCTGAATCGAGAACCGAGTCCATCCATGGAGAGCTCTCATAGAATGCAGCCCCATACTTCTGCGCTCTGAGTCGCGAACTGAGTCCATCCCTGGAGAGCTCTCATAGAGTACAGCCCTACACTTCTGCGCTCTGAATCGCGAAGCGAGTCCATCCATGGAGAGCCCTCATAGAGTGCAGCCCGATACTTCTGCGCTCTGAATCGAGAACCGGGCCCATCCGTGGAGAGCTCTCACGAGGGCGCCCAGATATGAAGAGCATCAACATCACCAAAACCACAGAGGAAACCTATGAGAAAAATATATCCAAGGGGCTGTCTACTTTGATTTTTGTCCACAGTTTGAGAGAATGCGAAGAGAGTTCTGCTTCACAAGCTGAGCGCGCCGAGAGATTTACGAAAACTATTACAAACATGGCAGAGCCATGAACGACGAGCCTAAAAACCCACACAGGTTAGTTTCTACAGTAAAAACAGCAACGCCCTCACTTCTTCCGCACCGCCTTGGAGCTGGAGGCAGCGCCTGCCGCCGAACCTCGGAGAGGCCGAAGCCTCGAGGAGTCCTTCCTGTAGTGTTTCTGCAGAAATTAGAGCACTACTTAAGAGACCGAAAAGCCCCACCACGCGCAGGCCCTTCAGTGTGTAGCTCTTGCCCGACCAGACGCGTGGCGGCAGCTTTCCACCATCCAAACCCAAGCCATAAAGCAAGGCGACAGGGGCTGGCTTCGTAGCCACTGATTAGAGAGAACTGACGGCGGGAGAACATAGGCGCCCCACCTCTGGGCCTGCTTTGCTACTCACTTACATGCCCCGCGTGTTCTTTCAAAGGAGCAAAACAGAAAACTGAGGCGGCACCAGTTCCCCAGCCATAGCGTGTCTCTCTAGACACCACGACGCCGGTGGCTGATGCAACCGCTTCCAACTGCAGCCGCGTCAGGCTGGCGAAATCCCCCTGGCCCACCGAAGCGAGCGCGTCCGGGTTGAGCGGTTGCGGCACCTCGCCTGAGTTGAGATAGGTGACAAGCTCCGCGCGGGTGCCGACTGCTCTGGGGCGAGTGATAGCCATGCCCTTCAACAGCGCGCGAAGCTCGACCAGAGACATCCTCTGCAGCTGCTCGAGGCTTGGCATCTTTGCAGCCAAATCCATCGAGCCCAAGACCATACCAGGCCCATCCGCTACAGCCTCCGCCGCTCGCTGGGCCTCTTCTCATCTGCATGGGCAGCCAGCAAGCTCCCCGGTCCATTTTGGAAGAGGTAAGACACCCCCCAGCAGCTCGGTGCCATTGTCATGAAAAATTAGAAAAATGGCGGAGAACCAGTGAAGCGAGAGAAGCTCTCACGGGATAACACTGACCCAAGCCAAAAGATAATCCGCCAAACCATAACAAGAGCCCCACTACCATCTTCGCCTTCGTCTCGATGTTGTCGCGATTGCGCCACAGGCAAAAAAGGAAAAAAAGAGAACGACCGACGAGGAGGCCCCGCAGGTCAGGCGCCTAGACTTTTGCAAAGAGACAGAGAGAGGCGTGGCCAGTCCCCTGAGAAAAGAAGAGAGACACACGCACGCCCTGGGCATGAGCTATCTACTTAAACAAAAAAGAGCACCCTGAGGGACTTGATTCCCTCCCTACTTGAGAGAGGCCACTGCTTCTAGGGGTTGACGCTCTGAGACTAGCTACGAAACGCGGCTACATAAAAGAGGGCGGCGCAGAAGTCGCCACGCTTCGCGCGTAACGCCTCCGCCTCTTGGAGATGCGGGGGGAGGCGCTTTACCGGGTCAAACTGCCACCCCTCCACATGTTTCCACATATTTTCGACGCACTGGCTCCCGACCTATTTTTAGAAGCCTGCCAGACTACCAACCCCGAGGCGAGTGGGCCAGCCTTGATGAGTTTCGTGAAGACGACCAAAAGAAGAAGACACGAAACAGCTAAGAGCTCACTCGCCTCATAAATAAGGAGAGAAAGCACGCGGCCGCCTTACTCTTTCATCGATGCAAGATCGAGAAACCAGTAGACACTAGACAGCATCTTGATGGTTGCAGAAGAAGCGCGTATACGGCGGGCGGCGTGTCTCGTTGGCGAGCAAGCAGGTGGCTGCATTGTTCACGCGGTACATCGGATGCCCGTCGGTGTGGAGGTCGACGCGGTCGGGCCGCCATCCCTGGCAGACACGCGCACACTCATAGGAGCCATCAGCTGGGTGCTGCCACAACGCACGCTGTGCCCTTCGCGGATTGATATCAGCCCCACCGGGTAACCGGTAAGCCCGCACCGCGGCGGTGGGTATGTTTCCTCGCTGTATGCTGCCGATAATCACCAACGACGGCGCGGCCAGGTACTCACCCACCTCGACGGTCGCGATGCTCTCACCACTTGCACCATAAGCCAGCAGGCACCCGGCTGCGTCCTGTGCTGCCTGCTGCTTTGCTGCCAGGACGGTGCTCACCTTGCGGCAGAACTCGCAGACAGTGGAGGCACCGAGCCCGACCACATGCACCACGTGCGCCGTTGTCATCTTGTGGAGCCGACAGGTAAGGAGACACAGAAGCCGCCGGGGGGGCATCTCGCTGCGGTATCGCTGCCCATTCCCTTGCAGGCGCAAGAGACCCGCGGGGGCCTTCGGTCGGCAGACATTACGCCAGCAAGCGAGGCCGATGCTGAAGCTGTCTCCAGATGTCCAACGTAAAGGAACACCACAAGAACACAACGCGCCAGCCAGAGGCGGGAAGAAGTCCCGCATCAGTTGCGTGGCATTCATTTGGGGCACCGCAGTCACTGGCGAGCATACTCGGAGCTGCCTATACTCCCCCGACCAGGATCGGCCCACAACTTAGATCATGCTTCTAGTTAATTCCTCCCCCTGGAGGCGCATCTGAGAGCGGGCGCTCCCTTCCGACCCTTTCAGAGTGAGGCGCTTCCTAAGAGAACGAAGCGAACTACTGCAAGCCTTAAGCAACCTGCGCCACCCGTCCGGCTGTACGCCCCCGCGACGTTGTTAGACGTCAGCTTCCTCAGACCGTTGGCGGCAGACCGCAAGGCACCAGCTGCAATCTCGACCACGTCCGTCCGCAGAGAGTCACACTTCGCCGACTCGAAAAGAGGGCCCAGCAAGTGCTTGCGCTTGATACAACTGAAGGCCGCACGGGTGTGCACATTCGCCAAGTGAAAAGGCGAACCGCATAGGCTGCACACGTGTGACCCAGTCCCGTTATACGGCTGGAACCACGGCAAACAGCGGAGCAGATCATCGACGAGGTGCGTGCGCGGGTAGGCGGGCGGCTTTCCTTGGATTGCTCGCTTGCGGTTTTGCTCCGCGAGCTTGGCGAGGACTTGCCTGCCGTGCTTTTCTTTTTTGTCGTGGAAAGCGTGGCGAACTCGGAGAAGGTCTACTCTTGACGGCGGCACGGCAGTCGATGCCGCTGCATTCGCGCCCCGCCCTTCGACATCTAAGGGAGCAGCCCTATCACCTGGGAGGCCGACGACACCACTACCAGCGCAGATCTCCCACACGTGTACGCCGTCAGGGGCAAGAGCCAAGGCGCCCAGGAGTGCCTGAAGCAGCTGCCCCAAGACCTGCACTGGCAAAACCGCAAGCGCATAAAATAGCAGGCTGCCGGCCGCCGTTGCTTCACCGCTCGGGGGACTCCTGATCGCATGCCAGTGGCCCTCCCAGAAGAGCAAGCCACGCCCTTGAGGCAACTGCGTGCCGCGCCGTGTGATCTGGTGAGTTTTCGATATGTTGCGAGCCGTTAGATGTTTCCCGAAACACCGCCCGCGAGTTGTATTCCGGACGCCGAAAAGAAACCGCAGACATGCCGGCGCGCACAGCTCTCCAACGTCTGAAGAAAACGGCGAAGCCATGGCAGCAGTCGCGCCATGCTTTTGCAATGTCTCCACAAGCGGACGCTGCTCCCAAGGGGGGAGGCTTCTACCAATTGGCCCACTTCTTTGAGCTGCTACCTGGCTTCTTAATCTCTCTGGTTCTAGTCCAGGTTGGCTGATTCAGCGAAGCAGAGGAGTACTGTACAGACAGCAGAAAAAATTTCCCCACTCGAGTGACGTGAAGAACCAAGGGAAGCGGGTTCTCGGTTCAGGGTTCAGGATTCAGATGAGACATCGCGTCGCCTGCCATTTAGGATGAACATCAAGGGAGGCGGGTTCTCGGTTCAGGGTTCAGGATTCAGATGAGACATCGCGTCGCCTGCCATATAGAGGGAACACCAAGGGAAGCGGGTTCTCGGTTCAGGGTTCAGGATTCAGATGGGGCATCGCGTCGCCTGCCATATAGAGGGAACACCAAGGGAAGCGGGTTCTCGGTTCAGGGTTCAGGATTCAGATGAGGCATCGCGTCGCCTGTCATATAGAGGGAACACCAAGGGAGGCGGGTTCTCGGTTCAAGGTTCAGGATTCAGATGAGACATCGCGCCGCCTGCCATATAGAAGGAACATCAAGGGAGGCGGGTTCTCGGTTCAGGGTTCAGATGAGACACCGCGTCGCCTGCCATATAGCGGGAACATCAAGGGAGGCGGGTTCTCGGTTCAGGGTTCAGGATTCAGATGGCCAATCAAGTCCCTTTCATATACAAGGGACCGACACCAAGGGGAGCCGGCTCTCGATTCAGGGTTCAGGATTCAGAGGGAAACCCGTCGGGCTACTAGTACGGAAGCCCTCCCGGAGAGTTGAAGCCTCGGGCTTTGAAAGTGCTAAACACCTCTAGAGTTCTCTTATTCATGTGGGTGCCTAGTAGTAGTAGTAGTGGTAGTAGTAGTAGTAGTAAGTAGTAGTAGTAGTAGTAGTAAAAGAGTCCAACCTGCTGACCTTTTTTCATAGGCTACGACTTTCTCACACTCGAGCCAAGTGTATACGCGGACTCCGTACACATGACCGAGAGTTGCCGCAGCCTCATAAAGGACCTTCATCCAACTCTTGACCTTAGTCCGCTCAAGGACCGTCAATGGGGACTCCTAGGCGATGACGCGCCTGCGTTGCCAGGATATCCGGTTGTGCCACATGATGCTTGTCTCCAGCACATGCGTCCCGGGGTTAAGATATTAAGGGTATCCTGATCCATCTTCAGAAGCATCCATTCTGGAGCCTTCTCGTAAGAAGAAAGGGTCTCGAAGATGTATCTCAAGATGAATCAGGGTGGGCTCTAAAGATAGCGGAGAGCGAAGACTTAGACGGACAGCCCGAAACAATAGCCGCAAGGAACAAGCTAACACGGGATGAGTGCCTGCTTCGTTGCGCCGCGAAGCCTATGTGTGTGGCGTTTACACGAGGATTGGCTGAAAAAGCCTCGTGTCGTTTGAAAAAAAGCACACACTTGACGACGTCCGTTAAGGCTTTACCCCTTATATGTTGGGAGGGGGCCACCCTCCATCTCTTACATTGTTGTGGTTGGCCTACGCCACCGCCACTCTAACTCTTGCTCTTGTACATAAGAGTCCTCGCTTTTTAAGAAGCGCCCTATTAACGAGAAGGGCTTCGTCGTTTTCAACCAGTTCAATCAGGAAAAGCCTGAGGACGATGACGAAAGCAGTTGCTTTCTTTGGAAGTGTATTCAGAAGTCAGCTTGTGTAAGTGCTGAAAAGGCTCTGAGGTAACTACGCGGGTAGGCCGTTGCCTTTGTTTCATGAAAATCCTTATTCTAATAACCGGTAATCACTAGAGGTAGGGGCCGTGTAGATACTTGGAGACTGATGAACTTGGGGAGCGCGGTACCGGAGACAAATGAGGCAAATAAGCCAGCCCTTGGGCTAGTGTTTCTAGGGGTAAAGAACTCAGAGGGCTTGGACTGCGTCTACTTATGTTCCACCCTGATTCTTTATCGTTCCACCTTTGTCTATCCCGTGTCCCATGCCCATAGCTTAGTCCCCTATCATCGTCTTCGGCGAGTATTCGTCCCCTACAATTCCCTATCCGAGAGGGTCGCGCGTAGTAAGAGAATTTTCCATATTTTTGGCGCTCCTAGCGATCTGCCCTTTTTCTGCCTTAGTGCTCTAATCTGGACGCAAATGTGGAAACCTTCAGAATGATGACGCCAGAGTGTCGATCCAGGCTTCTCAGCAAAAGCGCGTATCCAGTGCTTACACCGAAGGGGGTCGCGTCTTCTCTTACGATGAAAATGGACGAAGCTTCGACGCCGTTTCCTCATGTCGCTCCCGCGCGTAGAGGTGCGGCAGTCGCATGCTTTTTATTGGCTTATATAACGCACTTTGGTGCCCCGTGGCCCATCTCGTCACTATCACTAATGGCTTCAAAAGTAGTTGCACCTGGGGGGAGAAGCGTGTAGTGCTAGGGACAAAAATAGCAGCTGCGAGAAGGTGGGTCCCCGTGGAATCCTGCGAGCGCCGTATCCACCTGAGGGGCGTGGCGCGAGGGGGGTACTACCGTGACGCGCGACGGCGTGACGCGCTGAGGAGCGTCACGCGGGTGGGAGTATTTGCGAGGCGGGTGAGGGTGCGACGCGTGTGCATGATCTAGAGCGGGCCCACCCAACACACGCGAAGGCGCTAGCGAAAGCGCTAGCGAAAGCGCTAGCGAAAGCGCTAGCGAAAGCGCTAGCGAAAGCGCTAGCGAAAGCGCTAGCGAAAGCGCTAGCGAAAGCGCTGCGCTGTAGGTCATCGACTTGGTGCCCCCGCTTGCTCTTCATTCGATGGACCCCGGCAGCGCTGGCTAGCTAACTAGTTTGAGACTGAGCGAACGAGAGATCGCCGGGCGCGTCACGCCAGGCCAAGCCCCGCCCATGTGCTGAGCCGTCCTGACTCCTGAGCGCTTCGCCACACCCACACCCTGACAAGGATCACGCCCCGCGCAGCTCCCTGGGTATCTTGAGCAATTTCCCCCAAACATTCGGAGGGGCTTTTTTTGTAAGCCACTACAGCCGACCACCAGCGCGCCCGCGCTGCCTAGTAGCTTACGGAGTGGCTGGCCCACAGACCGCGGGCGACTTGGCTAGGAATAAGCAGGCACGGCGATCCACTTGGGATGGCTGGCCCGCTCTCGATTCTTGACGTGAGCCCCCTCAAGATAGCTGCCGAATGCCGTGCCCAAACTGGACAGCCGTTCCGAGCCCGCTCGAGATAGCTGACCAGCGCACAGCGTGGAAGGGTAGCGAATGCACGCCCACCCACTCCCAAGCAAGATAGCTGACCCAGGACACGGCCTGGACTATTGCGCTTATCACCGCGAGCCGCGTGCTGTGAGTGGCTCGCTAGTTGTTCGCTGAACAAAGCAAAGGGGCCGCGGAATTTGTCTGCGATGGATCATAACAAGGCTGCCCACGGATTTACCTCAGACCTTAAGGCCGGCTGATGATTTGTCTCAGGTCATAAGGCCGCCTTCGGATCTATCTCAGACAACGAGATCGCCAGCGGATTTGCCTCAGGTCGTCAGGCTGTCCACGGGTTTGCCCCAGGTAATAAGGCTGCCAACGGATTTGCTTCAGATAGTACGGCCGCTCGCGCATTTGTCTCAGATCATCTCATGGGCGAGGCTGCCCCTGGGAAGCTCCGCCGCGCTCAGTTATAAAGCGGGACGCGCTACGCCTAAAAGCTTAGCGTGACGCCTCACGCGTGTCACGCATAGGGACAGGCAAGCCTTCCCCCCTATAATAGGGGGGAAGGGGAAAGGGCTTAGGCCGGCTGCCCATGCGGCGCTCGCCAGGTCTTGCGGTGGATCGCCTTGATTTGTTGGCGGACTGGCTGACTGGCTTCGGGTCGCAAGCTCAAACTTCTCTGCGTTTCTTTTCAGTGAAGGTTTTTTTTAGGGGCTTTCTCTTTCTCAAGGCGGTGCCGAGAGGAGCTTGACCAGCCTTCTCAGCGAGCGATCGGGGTCGCGGCCAAAATCGCAAACCCCCGTAGGAGCCCGACGTGGACCCTCGTCGGATCGATCTCCATTCGCGCCTTCTGACCCGCCCCGAAACCCACAAGACCAGGGCGCGCAGGGCCTACGAGCTGACCCACCCCCCGACCCCATCGCGAAGCCCATAGCCACATGGCACGCGCCCATTGCTTGGCCCACACCGTGGCCAGCCTCTCGACTTACCCCTTGCCCCGCCTTCTTCCGTTTGGCCCACGACCTCCCGACCCGTCAGGCGGCCAAGTAGATGTGTCAACCCGTATCCGAACGGCATGACCCTCCGCCAACCCACCTCCAGACACACACTCCCACCCCCGGGCCCACACGCTGACCCGCCCCAAGGTCTACAAAGCTAAGGCTTGGAGAGTCCAAATCTTGCCCACCACCTGAGCCCATCGATGTTGAGCCCGCGTCCATCAGTGGCCCGCCACGCTCCCTCTTCTTTTGTGAGCCACGCTCTTGCCCTGACTTTGACCCAACCTGCCACCCCATCCTTTTCCCTTGGCCGATCCCCGTTAGGGCTCGCCCGCCTTCTGACCCATCAGGAAGTGGCCGGTTTTGCGAGTCTTGTGCTAGCAGCCTGGAATGGCCCTCGTCCGTGCTTCCAACCCACCTAACCTCGAGGCCCACAGAACTAAGGCGCGCAGGGTCCAAATCTGGCTCGCCACTTGATCCCATCGAAAAATCCGCATCCATCTATCAGCTTGACACGCGCCCGCTGAATGGCCCACACTCATGCTGGCCCAACTTGTGAGGCAGAGAAGCCTCAACCCTAGCAACCCTCTGAGCCACATCCGGGGGGCCTACCAAAATTTTCGTCCGCGCCATAGCTTTTGCGGATTTGATTGTGATTTTGTTCGGGTGGGGGGTCAGATGAGGGCGGGGCAGGGTTTAGGGCACGGAACAGGTGTGTGGATGGGAAGTAGGACCAGGCGGTAGGCCTCCTTTTGGCCTTCTGCGCTAGCTTTAGTTAGTCGGGTCGGACGTAGATCCGGAGATGGATCGAACGTGAGGGCTCCCGACTCTTTCGAGATTAAAGCAACAGTATGAGAATCCGAGTAAGCGCGACGATGTAGCGTTGACTTTCGCAAGATCCAAGATGCTGTATTCAAAAAATTGAAGTTCAAACTCGGTTAAATGTCATGTCTCTTGATATTACCTCGCCCAGAAATAGACTGTAGAGACCGACGATGACTAGGATGCTGATGAATGAAGATCGCAGAGCAGACCCGCCAGCTATGATCTGCAACACATCAGTGCCAAGATCGGCGCCGATGAATTTCATCTCTCGTCCCCCGTCTTCATTTAAGGCATAGCTCCATCTTAAGAAACATCTTGAATGATATTTTAGAGAAAAATAAGACTAAGAGTACTGTAAGCATTTTGAAAAACTAGTAATTCATTAGATTAGGCAGGTCAAATCGAAGACAAACGGAAACGACGTGGCAACTTACGCGATTTGAAAGCATTCTGGTCCTACTTCTGCCGCTCTTCCAGCCTGAACATGGCCACGGCCGCTTCTGTCACTCTCTTTTTTCAATGGCTCAGCGACATCAAGATCAACGGCTTCCCCGGCCTAAGCTGCATCTTCTTGCAAGGGCGTAGGCGCTATCAATGTCACTACGCTGATACAGATGCTTCCAAAGGGCAGCAACGTGCTGGAGGGTTGCGCCATATTGTCGCCATTGATTGTTGGAAACGGCGACAGACCGCAGCGGGCACACTCGCTCGAAATGACACAAGGAAGAGAGCCTCGCCGGAGAGGGACAAAGACTGCCGGACACACCAAGACACCGGCAAGCTAGGTCCCTGGCGTGTGTGAGGTAGGTGCGGCGCGGATGCCGATAGGTGTGCAAATCTTAGACGCCTGGCGCCCTCGCTTTTCTCCGTGGGGGTTTTAGCACGCCGCGGCCTCACGGCTGCCTGGGTGTCCTCTCTCTTTTGGGTCTGGCCGTGGACTTTGTGATGATCTCAAAGGGGGCGATCTCGGAGGCATGCCCCTCGGGGTAGTTCGATGGTCTCCAGCTGGGCGCAAGTCTGTGGGGCTTGTGTTCTTCTGAGGGCTTTCCACTTATCAGGCCCGCGAGGGGTCGCTGGTGTTGGTCTTTGTCATGCTCTTGCGACTGCACTTACAGGAAAGCTACTCTTCTGGCGCCATTGAAGTCATTCGATTTGCATTTGCTTGACCTCCTTCGCAAAGGGTGGCGCCCGTTCAGCCAGCAACGTGCGAGGCATTTTACGAGTAGGCTACTTTGTAATAGTGCCTACTTTTATTTTGGCGCCATCGATCCCCTGCAGGCGTGTGTTACTTGTTCATAGGGCTAGGGCCCGTCTGCGTGGGCTTGTGTGTTAGGTCTTCGGCCTTAGGGGCTGGGGGT